GCCGTGTGGTGCCAGGACAACAACCTCTCCCTCAACGTGACCAAGACAAAGGAGATGATTGTGGACTACAGGAAAAAAAAGAGGACTGAGCACGCCCCCATTCTCATCGACGGGGCTGTAGTGGAACAGGTTGAGAGCTTCAAGTTCCTTGGTGTCCACATCACCAACGAACTATCATGGTCCAAACACACCAAGACAGTCGTGAAGAGGGCACGACAAAGCCTATTCCCCCTCAGGAGACTAAAAAGATTTGGCATGGGTCCTCAGATCCTCAAAAAATTCTACAGCTGCACCATCGAGAGCATCCTGACTGGTTGCATCACCGCCTGGTATGGCAACTGCTTGGCCTCTGACCGCAAGGCACTACAGAGGGTAGTGCGTACGGCCCAGTACATCACTGGGGCAAAGCTCCCTGCCATCCAGGACCTCTATACCAGGCGGTGTCAGAGGAAGGCCCTCAAAATTGTCAAAGACTCCAGCCACCCTAGTCATAGACTGTTCTCTCTGCTACCGCACGGCAAGCGGTACCGGAGTGCCAAGTCTAGGTCCAAAAGACTTCTCAACAGCTTCTACCCCCAAGCCATAAGACTCCTGAACAGCTAATCATGGCTACCCGGACTATTTGCACTGCCCCCCCCACCCCATCCTTTTTACGCTGCTGCTACTCTGTTAAGTAAGTATTTATGCATAGTCACTTTAACTCTACCCACATGTACATATTACCTCAACTACCTCAACTAGCCGGTGCCCCCGCACATTGACTCTGCACCGGTACCCCCCTGTATATATAGCCTCCCTATTGTTACTTTATTTTACTTCTGCTGTTTTTTTCTCAACACTTTTTTTGTTGTTGTTTTATTCTTACTTTTTTTGTTTAAAATAAATGCACTGTTGGTTAAGGGCTGTAAGTAAGCATTTCACTGTAATGTCTGCACCTGTTGTATTCGGCGCATGTGACCAATAAAATTTTATTTTATTTTATTTGATACAGTATACATCCTCAATACCCTGTCCACTATAGTAGGCCTACTGTGTCCAGTTGATCCAGTTGATTGGTTTTGGACTGTACAGACCAGACCACAGCTATGATTTTGCTACAGTAGGCCTACATGTGAACTGCAGTAAAGGGTATTTATCCTCTTCAGTTTTTTTCTATCATATCCTGTTGTTAACATATCCTGTCTCAAGCACACAGCCACATTCTAAATCCAGAAGTAGGATCTTCTAGTGATTTCTACATTTCTGTCATGTTTGCGCAGCAGTGAGGGTTTGACATTCACACACACACCCTTCACAACCCTCACACACACTCCTAACACACCTGTTAGGTCGGGCCTCACACTGAGTCAGAACCACAGGTTTACACACACACTAGTGCTATATCAGAATGTGTTCTGGTCACCTAGAAGTGCTACCACTGTGTACCACGACACTTCCACAACTCATCGCCCTACTGACCTCTCTCACACACACACACACACACACACACACACACACACACACACTATTCCCCCCCACACAGCGCCCTACTGACCACAAACACACTCTATTTCCCCCCACTCTCTCACACACACACACTATCAAGGGGAGTTAACATGTTCAGAGAGGGAAGGGGCATGATCTGGCACAATGTGGGCTGATGTGGATCAGTGTGACTGGATGTGGTCAGTACAGTTCCGAAGCCCCCCTTCCCCCCCTGAACAACACCCACTCAGCTAGCGAGCTAGCAGAAACGCTGACTCAGGCTGCCCTAGTATAGATTGTGTGTGTGTGTGTGAGGGAGAATGTTTCCTCATTTACACCGGTACTGTATTTATAGTGGAGCGGGGGGTGGACTGTAGTTAACTCACTGTAGGATGTTTAGAAGAGTCACAGGGTCCTTAATCACTGACCATGACCTCATACCTCCCCCCTCCTCTCTCTCACACACACACACACACACACACACACACACACACACACACACACACACACACACTACCCCATTGTAGACTAGAGTACGTGTGACACTCCGCCACAGTTTACAAAGAACGTAAGGACATACTTGTTAATAATCCTAATCATAAAGTATTTGTCATGACGTCGTTGGAGAGACCTTTTCAATAGAAGAACGGTGTTACCGTGAACGGTCCTTTCTTCATTTCCACACTGACCATGATGGAATTATTTCATTAAGTGTGACAGTGGAATACATGTCATTAATATGGAGTAGAATGTCCTAGTTCTGCTATCACAGATACCCTTTACACTGTCATGATGAAATCACACCCGTACACACTCATTAACTCACTATCCCAGGAGAAATCTTCTCATCAGCTATATATGGTTAACTCGACCTTATGCGCAAATCCTGCATTGATGTCAATGTGAGATTTGCATTTAGGTATTTTCGGGACACGTATCACACGTATTGGATTCAGTCCCCAGTGTTTAATTTCTTACAGAAACACACACACACCACACACACTCACTCACTCACTCACACTCTCTCTCTCTCTCTGCCGGTTCCAGGTATAAGCAGAATATCAGGAAATATAGCTTTAAAACTGCAAAAGAATGTCTCTCCACCCCATGGCAAAATGTGTAGAACTGCAGGAAATGTACTTTAAAACAGATTATTTTTCTGTCCGCAGACAAGAGGGGGGCCACTAAAAGGTTTTCCCCATGAGGTGGGTGGGCTTGTCATGCAAAATAGTGTAATCTTATTCGCTAAACAGAACTAGTTTAAACAGCAAAATTGTCACAAATCAGCTTTGTTTACATAGTGGGGATGAAAATGTAATTTTTGCTGCAATGATCTCTAAAATTCTGCGAATTAGGTCATCCACACCGTTGATATAGCAACGGACGCTAATAGTTTATGGAATCCCATTGTGACGCGGGGGCGATACTTTTTGGCATGACAGGCCTGCCAACCAAAAGGCTAGGGCATGCCATGCACACATACACCAATGCTCTGACACACTTTAATTTACCCATCGTTCCCCCCAGGCCTGTCCTCTGTTCTCACACCAGAACCCCCTCCCCCCAGGCCTGTCCTCTGTTCTCACACCAGAACCCCCTCCCCCCAGGCCTGTCCTCTGTTCTCACACCAGAACCCCCTCCCCCCAGGCCTGTCCTCTGTTCTCACACCAGAACCCCCTCCCCCCAGGCCTGTCCTCTGTTCTCACACCAGAACCCCCTCCCTCCCTCTCCCTGTGAAACCTGACCCAGAATCAGACCTCTGGCTGGCTTCCATCATGCACCTGGTAACCCTGATCACCTGGGGAGGTGTATGTGTGTGGTAGACATGCCAGGCAGCTCCATCCATGCCATAGTATGTCGCTGTACCATCACATGAAAGCACACCCATTGTAATTGCCGCCATTCTACTGATATCCAGTGTGTGTTAGTTGTGACTGCGTCAGACAGACGCACTGTGGTGTCACGTTTCCTTTCATGTGTGTAACTGGGCTGCTCCGTGATGTCACTCTCTGGCTTCCTGCATTGTTTGTCTGAGACAGGCGTTCAACTGCACGTTTGACGAGGTGCTTAGTAGAGCTGGGTCATATGGACAAAAATCCATGTTACCATAAATTGCCTGAATTTATGTGATAACGATAAATGGAATGATACGTTTATAACATGAATGTGCACCACAGTTTATAACATGAATGTGCACCACAGTTTATAACATGAATGTGCACCACAGTTTATAACATGAATGTGCACCACAGTTTTTTTTAAATGATCCTTTAAACTACTACTACAAGTTTGATGGTGTACCATCAATTGTCCAATTAACAATCACCCATATCAACAAACTTATTTCATTTCAAACTTCACATTTCTCTAGTATAGGCTACTTATCATAATGAACAATATCAGCAGAATGCCTGCGATAAGTGATTGTTATGGTCGGTGACAACAATTTTGGGTTTATCGTCCCAGCTCTAGTGCTTAGTTCCACCACTTACCAATGGGTGTGTGTGTGTGTGTGTGTGTTTAGTGTGTTTACTTAGCCCTGTCTTGGTGGCTTAGTAATTGTACAGTCCCTTTAAGAGAGAACGGCCTAGTTCTAGTTCAGAGTGTTGAACGGCAGTCAAAGAGCAGTTGTATCTGCATAGCTGATCATGTTAAGTGGCCAAGATGGTGGCTCCAAATGGGCCATGATACTGTACTCGCTGCAGAGCCAAAATGGACACAAGCACTTAACACCATTAGAGACAATGGGGCTGCTGCTGGATTTAATGGCCTGCTGTTATTGAGCCAAAATGGAGATTGAACTGTGGCCTGCTGGAGCACTTAAACACATGCTCTTCAGGAATAGATCATTACAGAAAAGCAACTGCGAGTGTGGATGGTCTATTTTGGTGAAACTGAGCCAGAATGGAAACTGGGAGACATGTGTTTCTTTACCGAAGCTGCTGAAGCACTTACTGTTGTGTGTGTGTGTGTGTGTGTGTGTTGGTTGGGGTGGTGGCACTTGAACCACCTCCTAAAACCCGAAACATCACGTTATATTTTCGAAGGGAATTTTGAAAACCTGCCAACTCCAGTCCCATACTAACTTCCGTCATTGCACATTCACAGGAGGATTTGAGAAATGGCAGCTAAATTTACCTTGACTCCCCGTTTACTTGATAATTGCCTTGGCAACGGCCTCAGGTCCATGCGAGGGGGGGGAACCAGGGCATGTTGTCAGGGGTGAGGGGAGGGGTTGGTGACCTTTTGTTCCTGTGTTTGCTTAGTGGGCATTCCTCTGAGGGCTGGCGCTCACCCAACCATGGCCAGTCTGTCTGTCTGTTATACAGGGCTCCCCCTGGGGGTGAAGATGGAGTATTAGTCTCCTTAGCCAGACACCGCCCAACCTTTAGTCATCAGTAAAGGGCATCATACTATGGCTACATCTCAATAGGACGATAGGAATTGGAAGAAGTCTGAGTTGTGTGCCATGCAGTTGTGTAGTACTTCAGCAGTTCATGGTTACTCTCCCTAACGATCATCTTTCCTCTTCCCAGGTCCTTATGGTTGAGCTGGGTGTTGGTCCCTGCTATGCCTCCCGCCATGACAGACCTCCTGGACATGTGGGCGGCCCACTCCCAGCTGTCTGGAGAGGACCTGGTCACTGTGGACTTCCTGTTACCCACCGGCATCTACATCCAGATGGACGTCCCCAGAGAGGCCACCATACAACACATCAAACTGGTAGGAGAGAGGGGAACAGGGGGTAGGTTTGAGTAGGTATGTGTTGGGGGGGGGGGGGGGGGGGGGGAGTAGGTTTGTGTCGTGTGTGTCAGTGGAGTTTGTGGGGGTAGGTGGTGTGTGTGTGTAAAGTTGAATTACATGAAATATTTTTTTGCAAATGATGAGTGCCTATAGCTTAAGGTGAATCATTTCAGACAGCAGGTAAATCAATTTAGATCAGCATTGGAAAGTATAGCGGAGAGGCCTATGATGGGCCTACTGTGCATCTCAGTGTTTTTATTTATCGTTCTTATTGTTATCATGACAATTCAGTACAATTATGATGATATGAATTTATATCCACATTGCATGGCCAGTCCTACATCCTCTTCAACATGTCAGGCTGTTTTATCTCTTCAATTAGAATCAAACCCATAAACATTAGTTTACAACATTTATTAGTTTAACATTACGCAGATTGGTTAGGATTGTTTTAATGAATGACTCTGGGTGCTGCCTGGCTGAAGTTCTGCTTCTGAGACATTGTAAAAGGCCATCATAATAACTAGAACACGCTGTAGGCTGCTGTAGACTGTCGTCTCCTCTCCAGTCCAGACAGACGCTCTCTAATGGGTGTTATGACACAGCTGGCGGCTGGTGTGATTTGTTTGTCTCTGAGCTGCACTCACGGCATGCAAATATGCTATGACATCATGCATGACCCGGCTAGTGGGTAGAGGTGGGGTGGGATGGAGGCCAAAGGTCAGCAATGTAACAATGCACTGTAGTCTTTACCGTCATGGAAGGTGTCATATTTCAGTCACAATTAATGTTTTTTAATGGTTTTAGTTTTAGTTTAAGATGTAAATACTTTGGAGGATGGTAGTTATTTTTTTCCTGTGGTGAGATCCCTCCTGCTGAACCTCTTCCTGTGACCCTCTCCCTGCTGGTGTTTTCCTCCAGTCTGAGACACTTTCTGACACACACACACACACACACACACACACACACACACACACACACACAAACACGTAGAGAGACACACACACACGTAGAGAGACACACACACACACACGTAGAGACACACACACGTAGAGACACACGTAGAGACACACACACACGTAGAGATACACACACACGTAGAGACACACACACACGTAGAGACACACACTCACACACACGTAGAGACACACACACACACGTAGAGACACACACACGTAGAGACACACACACATAGAGACACACAGAGACATACCATGTTTTCCTCAGACAGTCTTCGTTGAATAGCACCTGGAGTTGTTAAGACGTTTGTTCTGTGAGTGTGAACAATGTCTGTTTCTCTGCACCCCTGGCTCCAGTGTTCCTAATGAGGAGTAACCTATCACTCCAATTCACAAAGTGTTTGTTTGTCTCTCTGCTTTTCATATGTCTATAAAACAGAACTAACAGACTCAATGACTTGTGATCTGTCTTGCAGTTATGCGGTTGTGTGTGAGAGTGAGTGAGAGAGTGAGTGAGAGAGTGAGTGAGAGAGTGAGTGAGAGAGTGAGTGAGAGTGAGTGAGAGAGTGAGTGAGAGAGAGAGTGAGTGAGAGAGTGAGTGAGAGAGAGAGACAGAGACAGAGAGACAGAGACTCACTCAGGTAGACCAGCAGCAGATGTATTTATTTCCCCAACTAAAGATGTTTAGGAGGAGAGTAGTCTCCAGACGGAAGGCCTGCCAGCCAGCTAACAATGTTAAATCTCACCCAGACACTGATTTATAGACAACACAGTGGCTGGGTGGAGAATAAAGATGTCGCCCCTGCTCAGACAGAACGTGGGCAGGACATTTATTAGGGGCACAATGACACACAGCCTCCATTAGAATACCTTGTCTTTCACTTTCTATTATAATATAAGGAAATATGCTCTGATATTCATCCTCAACTAGCCAACAGCACAGGAACCGTTGTGACTTGTACTCAATAAGTGTTGGTTTAGGGAAAAATACATTGTTGTGACCTTGCATAGCCATCCAATGTGCATGAAATAAAAAACAAACTGAATGTAAAAATATATATATATTCAAAAGATAACGTTGAAGGAAATGGCAAAGTTCAATAAAATGTCTCTTAAGTGAGGCTGTTATCCTGTTGCTTAAAGGTGCTGGCTTCCAAGAGGGAGTGTCATTTTAGAGAATAACAGTAGTAGTCATGTGGTCTCAGGATGGCTACAAATAGCATGGTGGTGAAATGTGACAGATAATTAGATGTCACACCACGGATAATAACAACCGATTTGTTAAGTAAAAGCAATTATTTGTCATGTGAACGTAGTATAGCCAAGTAGTAAACAGTAATCCAATCTATGATGCAGAAAAAGTTGAATACCGGGAGGATTTTGTTTTAGCCTCTAAAGAAGGTCTATACTTTGAGGGGACTTGGTCTGATGTTGTGGTCAGTAAGTTGGTAATGACGAAAGAATGTTGTGGCAAGAGGCTCAAGTTGTTTGTCTGAAGGGAGGAGAGTTGACATGACTCCTTGTCTACAAGTCTGTCCCCATGTTTCTCTTCTTAGTGCCCTTTAGCCTCAAACACACACACACACACACACACACACAACGGGACATGATTCATGTCCTGATTGGTTTGTAGAAGTAAGATTCATGTCCTGATTGGTCTATTCAGGACCTGTGTAATGTTTGTTTCCCTGTCATCATATGACATCATATGGTTGTTGTTCAACCATTGGTTCTTAGCATTTCAGTCGTGATGATTCTTAGAACTACTGTTGGCTTTAGAATCTGGATTATTGTGATGTTAGTCATGATGCTATTGGCTAATAATTGAGGTTCCACTTGTTATTGTAGATCGTGTATTGTAGAGGCTGAGCCTGTATCTGTGTAGCCCGTGATCATACAGGTAGATTGTGTCAACCTGTCTTGCCATAGTTTTTGTAATAACTGTGTTATCCCCCACCTCCTCCTTCCTCATAGCTCCTATGGAAGCAGGCCCAGTCGTACCCCCTGTTCCCGTCTCTGGGGGAGATGGAGGGCCACATGTTTGAGTGTGTGAACCAGGCAGCGGTGCACGAGGAGCTGGAGGATGAGACCAGGCGCCTCTGTGATGTCAGGCCCTTCTGGCCCATGCTCAAACTGGTCACACGCAACTGTGGCCGCGCCGAACGCCTGCTCGACTCCAAGATCGGCGTGCTCATCGGAAAAGGTGACACACTCACACACAGTAACAGTAGACCCCCACACTGATGTTTGACCTATGTGACCTGTGGTTTAAACAGAGTAGGGATGCTCCTAGACAGTGATCACTCACACACACACACACACACACACACACACATACTCCTCAGACACAGCACCACAGTTTAATCTCTGTCTCCAGTATATTCATATCCGCTTTGCCTTGGCGGTCAGATCTGAGTCTTGTCTTCAGATGTCTCATGTCATCATCCCAGTATCAGCTGAAGTCAGGCCCGTTGGATAGAAAACAATCTGGTTAGAATAGACAGGCTCCTGATGTCTGTTGCATCATCCGTCACTCACTATTATCTGTGATGGTGATAAGATGCTGTGCTGAGTGGAGGAGGCAAGCCAGACCACCACTGTAATGGTAGGGAAGATAAAGCCCCAGGGTGGAACGGTCAATCTATTGAGTTAATACACACAAACAGAAATATGCTTGCACACATACAGTACCAGTCAAAAGTATGGAGACACCTACTCATTCAAGGGTTTTTCTTTATTTTTACTATTTTCTACATTGTAGAATAATAATGAAGACATCAGAACTATGAAATAACACATATGGAATCATGTAGTAACCAAAAAAGTGTTAAACAAATCAAAATATATTTTAGATTCTTCAAAGTAGGTACCCTTTGCCTTGATGACAGCGTTGCACACTCTTGGCATTCTCTCAACCAGCTTCACCTGGAATGCTTTTCCAACAGTCTTGAAGGAGTTCCCACATATGCTGAGCACTTGTTGGCTCCTTTTCCTTCACTCTGCGGTCCAACTCATCCCAAACCATCTCAATTGGGTTGAGATCGGGTGATTGTGGAGGCCAGGTCATCTGATGCAACACTCCATCCCTCTCCTTCTTGGTCAAATAGCCCTTACACAGCCTGGAGGTGTGTTGAGTCATTATCCTGTTGAAAAACAAATGATAGTCCCTCTAAGCGCAAACCAGATGGGATGGTGTATCGCTGCAGAATGCTGTGGTAGCCATGCTGGTTAAGTGTGCCTTGAATTCTAAATAAATCACAGACAGTGTAATCAGCAAAGCACCATCACACCACCTCCTCCATGCTTCAAGGTGGGAACCACATATGCGGAGATCATCTGTTCACCTACTCTGAGTCTCACAAAGACACGGCGGTTGGAACCAAAAATCTCAAATTTGGACTCATCAGACCAAAGGACAGATTTCCACCGGTCTAATGTCCATTGCTCGTGTTTCTTGGCCCAAGCAAGTCTCTTCTTCTTATTGGTGTCCTTTAGTAGAGGTTTCTTTTCAGCAATTCGACCATGAAGGCCTGATTCCCGCAGTCTCCTCTGAACAGTTGATGTTGAGATGTGTCTGTGACTTGAACTCTGTGAAGCATTTATTTGGGCTGCAATTTCTGAGGCTGGTAACTCTAATGAACTTATCCTCTGCAGCAGAGGTAACTCTTGGTCTTCCTTTCCTGTGGCGGTCCTCATGAGAGCCAGTTTCATCATAGCGCTTGATGGTTTTTGCGACTGCACTTGAAGAAACTTACAAAGTTCTTGTCACAACACAACTGATTGGCTCAAACGCATTAAGAAGGAAAGAAATTCCACAAATTAACTTTTAGCAAGGCACAACTGTTAATTGAAATGCATTCCAGGTGACTACCTCATGAAGCTGGTTGAGAGAATGCCAAGCGTGTGCAAAGCTGTCATCAAGGCAAAGGGTGGCTATTTGAAGAATCTCAAATATAAAATATATTTTGTTTTGTTTAACACTTTTTTAGTTACTACATGATTCCATATGTGTTATTTCATAGTTCTGATGTCTTCACTATTATTCTACAATGTAGAAAATAGTAAAAATAAAGAAAAACCCTTGAATGAGTAGGTGTGTCCAAACTTTTGACTGGTACTGTATATGCATGCACGCTAACACACTATTGATGCGTCGGTTGACTCATAACCCGCAGTCCCTGCAGTTATATACGCGGGGCAGAAGGTTTTAGGGTCATTAAAGGTCAATAAATATTGTGTGGCTGAAGGGCAGGTTGAATAAAGAGAAACAATCTTAAAAATCCATAAATGTAAATGCAATTTATATCTATCTATATGCTACAATGAGATGTTTATTTCATTATTTTAGGCTATTTGGGTATTAGTGCATGAGCCTAAGCTTTAGGACTTAACTGTACACGCGCCAAATACTCTACACAGCCAATCGCCAAATAATGCTTTTGGGAATGGGCAGAAAAAGTTAACATCAATACACAGACGGCAAAAAGGACATTGTCGAAGTTTAATTCAATAAGACGAAAGCTGCGAAAGGAGAGTTAAAAATAAAGAGAAGGGAGGGCCAGAAATGTAATGTTTGGAAATGATTTGGTGAAGTATTATAAGAGGATGATAGCAGTGCCGGCTATGTTCTGTACAAATTCAACAGTCACAAGACAGGGACTTCAAATAGGCCTATGGCATGTCAAGGGAACTGTAGCCTACTGTTTAGATGGGTTAAATGGAAACTGAAATCTGGACACTGACTGTAGCTCTATAACTGCTCACACAGCATTAATATTAACTCCTGCAGAATGAAGCATTTCTTGCAGTAAAATGATACACCAAATGTAGGCAACATTTTAACTTGGGAACAGGAGTGAAGAAATGTGATTTATTTATTTCTGCATCTTGAGAGAATGCAATACTCAGATACCATCTGTAGAGGTGCTATCTTCATCATAAAAGCTGATAGTACAGTATTTCAACCACATAAAATATGCATCCAAACTGAAATCTTATCAGAAACACATTGGGTCGTTTTCACAGCTTTCTTTTTCCTTACAACGGTCAAATTGAATGTTATTTGGACATTTAGCATTGTTTTGCATGATTGTATTTTCTCCCCAGCCCCTAAACGTCTTTGCTTCGCAAAAATGACAGAACTTTACCGACATCAACTGGTTTGAAGCATTCAATCTATTGATCTATGACATTATTCTGTTGAGCAAGGGTTTATTTAGTCTTCATACAGGTGTTTATTTAGTTCACATATAGTCCAACAGTTGCGGATGGGTTATTAGCAAATGCGGGTGTGGGTGAACAAACAGCTGACCCGCGCACCACTGTTAAACACACACACACACACACACACACACACACACACACACACACACACACACACACACACACACACACTAAGTCTCACTTACAAACTCTCTCTCTCACTCAGCCATATATGCACATAGGTATACGTGTGTATACACACACACACACACACACACACACACACACACAGCGTCATGTTGGCCTGAGGCTGTGTGGGGACAGAGATGGTAGGTGGGTCTATGGAGGTCCTCCAGGCTGCTGGCCAACCAGGCCTGTTCAGAGAGGGAGTCGGTCAGTGATAGTAATTGAAGGAGACTTATCCCATATTGATATTTTCCCTCTTGGCTCCAATTTTGTCAGATGTGATCTGTAAAAGGCTTTTGTCAGTAAGCGGTACTCAAAACAGACCTCAGGCGCTGGCTAGCCACACACCCACACACTGAAAAGCCCGCACACACACACACACACACACACACACACACACAAGCTAATAATGCAGTCCAGAGGCATCCTCTGAGAGCTGAGGGTCATATGAATGTTTAATGGTTTTAAATGTCAACATGTGTTTTTTATCATCCAAAGCATTCTACGGCCCCAAAATACCAAGCTCTGTTCAATTAGTAGATATAATGAATTCAGGATCTAGATTTTATACCCAGTGAACGTTGTATTTCAGTGAAAACAGTAGGTTAGAGTTCAACACTCTTGAGATTGAATTGTCATTTGTAATCCCTCATAAACATGAATGTTACCACGCCAGGTATGTGTCAGTCACAGAGGGAGTGCATTAAACATGAATGGTAATGCCTTTTAATGCAGTGCCGTTAGACCCACTCATGCAGAGGTTATACTCTGGTTTTTCACATGCTTTAGTGCTTATGTCATTGTGGTGTTGCGTTTAACCTCTTATGAACCTGTTACACCGTGCTTATAAAGCTTAATGACTGCTCACAGGTGTTCACAAACGGAACACTATCGATAAAATACATCTTTGGTGTCAAATGTTGTAAAACCTCTTGTGGCCTTTTTATGCACTCCTTATCACCTGCAAAAGTCGTTATGCAGTGCTTATAAAGTGTTTATGAAGAGCTTATGAAGCTTCACGAACCATTCACAGGTCTCCACGAGCTGGATGCTCTCCAGGACCAGGAGGTGAAGGACTTCCGCAGTAAGATGTTCCGTATCAGCGAGGAGAAGATGCAGCGGGTACAGCTGATGACATGGAGCGAGTGGCTGCAGGCCTGCTTCTCTCCACAGCTGGAGCCAGGGGGAGGAGCCACAGACGGTGTCAACGACAAACAGGCCGAGGCCAGCCTCAAAGTCACCATGCATTTTGACCAGTCCCAGGTACCTGTCTGTACACACTGAGAGCACAATATGTCCTACCAGAAATACTTACACAAAGCAAAATATAACCAACAATAGGACCATTATCGCTCTCTTCTACTAGTCATCATTTACAATACTACACACCCCTGGCTGTCATCAGTCAGTAGTCATCATTTACAATACTACACACCCTCGGCTGTCATCAATCAGCAGTCATCATTTACAATACTACACACCCTCGGCTGTCATCAATCAGCAGTCATCATTTACAATACTACACACCCTCGGCTGTCATCAATCAGCAGTCATCATTTACAATACTACACACCCTTGGCTGTCATCAATCAGCAGTCTCCATTTACAATACTACACACCCTCGGCTGTCATCAGTAGTTATCATATACATACAACAGTATGCGGACAGACACTGAGTATACAAAACATTAAGAACTCCTGCTCTTTCCATGACGTAGACTGACCAGGTGAATCCAGGTGAAAGCTATGATCCCTTATTGATGTCACTTGTTAAATGCACTTCAATCAGTGTATATGAAGGGGAGGAGATGCGTTAAAGAAGGATTTTTAAGCCTGGAGACAATTGAGATATGGATTGGGTATGTGTGCCATTCAGAGGGTGAATGGGCAAGCCAAAATATTTAAATGCCTTTGAACGGGGTGTGGTAGTAGGTGCCAGTGGCACCGGTTTGTGTCAAGAATTGCAATGCTGCTGGGTTTTTAACGTTCAACAGTGTCCCATGTGTATCAAGAATGGTCCAACACCCAAAGGATATCCAGCCAACTTGACACAACTGTGGGAAGCAGGGGGGTGCAACTCAATATTAGGAAGGTGTTCCTAATGTTTGGTATACTCTGTAGGCTACAGACTAGTAAACAAACTCTCTCACACATATATTCTCCCCTCTCTTATCTCCTCTGTTGGCTGGCCCCTAATAGTACCTGGTCATGTGACAGTTGGCTGTCTGTTAATAGGACCTGGTCATGTGACAGTTGGCTGTCTGTTAATAGGACCTGGTCATATGACAGTTGGCTGGCCCCTAATAGGACCTGGTCATGTGACAGTTGGCTGTCTGTTAATAGGACCTGGTCATATGACAGTTGGCTGGCCCCTAATAGGACCTGGTCATGTGACAGTTGGCTGTCTGTTAATAGGACCTGGTCATATGACAGTTGGCTGGCCCCTAATAGGACCTGGTCATGTGACAGTTGGCTGTTTGTTAATAGGACCTGGTCATGTGACAGTTGGCTGGCCCCTAATAGGACCTGGTCATGTGACAGTTGGCTGTTTGTTAATAGGACTTGGTCATGTGACAGTTGGCTGTCTGTCACGCTCCTACCCAAAGGGCCTCTCCACTGATTGAACACATCCCTCTTTCTCCCCCACTCTCTCCTTTCTCTCCTCCTTTCCATCCCACCCCGAAAAGACCAAGACCCTCCCACCCCCTCCCTACAAAGAAAACCCCCCCCCCCCCCTCTCTCCCCCCCCCCCCTCTCCTCTCTACCCTCAAACTAACTCAACTCCTCCCTCTCTCCCCTCATCCACCCTCTCTCTCGCTCTCCACTCCCTCCCCGCTTCCCTTCCCCCCCTCCCACGCTTCTCCCTTCCCCCTCCCTCTCTCTCTCTCCCACTCCCTCTCTCTTTATACCTCTCTCTCTCCCCCAATCACTCACACACACACACACACACACCCCTCTCACTATCAACCCCTCTTTATCTGAAATAAGTGTGTGTAGATTCGGTGGCATGCCAACAGATCAGCTCAGATCAACACACACATGCAACACACGCTAGGGTCACTAGCCCACTGCACAGTACATGGCCCAAACCCTTACCATCTGTGTTCTGTCCAGGTGGATGGAGGCAGGAAGTCAGTGTGTTATTTAGGAGTCCACATTAGGCACAGGAAGTGGACCTTTTTATTGTCTAGAGTCTTGTTAACTCCATTGGTTGGTTGGCCTGATTTTCAGTTGACTCTGTTATATCAAACCCTTATTTTACTACCTGTTTACATTATATTTACTTGGACATTACATTGTAAAACAGCAGTCGTTCACTTGAAGCTACAAGGTGCTATAGTTACCATTTTATTTGAGGCAATTACCTGAAAGTACCCATAGTTACCATAGTCGTAATGTCTTGGCTGGAAAGAAAGTGTGAAATAATTTCAATAATTATTACCGCTCTATTTGGAACTTGACCACTCTGGTCTGTGTCACCATGGTGATGTGCAGCAGCTGGTTGTCATGGCATTGTGAGTGGGTGAAGGCTGTGCCCTCATGACCAGGTTGGGCGCCAGGCTGCAAGGCAGGTCAGGTAGGGGTGTGTGTTTCTCTGTCTGAATGCTCTGTAAGCCTTCGGTGTCTGGCTGGGATTGTGTGTTAAGCCTAATCTATATTCCCCCCTCTAACGTTATTTTACTATTTTTCACCCTCTCTCCTCGCTATCTTTGAGATTTCACTTTGCAATATAGAACATGAAGTGCACCACACCATTTCTCTGGTCTCTGTCTGTCTCTGTGTTGTGTTGATGGTAATGTTCTCTCCATCCAGGACACAGCCAGTCTGAAGGTGTGCCCCAGCACCAGTCCCACTGAGCTGATGGAACAGGCTGTGAGGAAATGGCTGATGACCCACGGCCCAGAGGAGGACGGACGCCAGGCAGAGCAGTACGTTCTGAGGGTCAGCGATAAGCTGGAGTTCCTCTGTGGAGACCACCCCCTCATACAGTACAAGGTGACCCCTTACTCTTAGGCTAAACCTCAGTGCATACAGTGCAAAGGGACCCTAATGATGCCCTGTGACCCCTTAACCTTTAACCCCCAAACCCTCTGTAGAGTGCTTTCTTACCATCAAACTGCTCCCTTTCTCAGTCTCTTACCCTCTAGAGTTTCTGTGCAGTGCTGACCTCAACTCTCCTCTGAAAATGACCTTGTTTATCTCAACCATTCCTTAATGATTAATGTCATAACTAGTAAACTCTCTTCGACCGTAACGGTTAATGTTCCAAGGTCAGAGCGTGTGTAGGGAGCGGTCAGGTTAGGGTTGAGGAATGTCTCCTTGTGTTTAGCCATATACGAGACTCAGTGATCCAGGAACGGTCATCTGACTGATGTCCTAATAACGCCTCATTAATAACACTGTCTTCCTGGAACACATTACTGTTACTCACAGACCTGGTATGTGTGTATGACTGAATCCATCTGTGTATGAGTGTGTGTGTGTGTGTGTGTGTGTGATGAAGCAGACTGACTATTACGCCCTGTAGAAAAGGGTCCGGTCCCATTTGCTCTCGTTCCCGGAAAAGTGTTTCGATCCAGGAACCATCTGATCCACATACGTCATGTCTGTACATTAGATATGTGTTACATTCTATCTGTCTGTACATTAGATATGGGTTACATTCTATCTGTCTGTACATTAGATATGGGTTACATTCTATCTGTCTGTGCATTAGATATGGGTTACATTCTATCTGTCTGTGCATTAGATATGGGTTACATTCTATCTGTCTGTGCATTAGATATGGGTTACATTCTATCTGTCTGCGCATTGGATATGGGTTACATTCTATCTGTCTGCGCATTGGATATGGGTTACATTCTATCTGTCTGCGCATTAGGTATGGGTTACATTCTATCTGTCTGCGCATTAGATATGGGTTACATTCTATCTGTCTGCGCATTAGGTATGGGTTACATTCTATCTGTCTGCGCATTAGATATGGGTTACATTCTATCTGTCTGTACATTAGGTATGGGTTACATTATATCTGTCTGTACATTAGGTATGGGTTACATTCTATCTGTCTGTACATTAGGTATGGGTTACATTCTATCTGTCTGTGCATTAGGTATGGGTTATATTCTATCTGTCTGCGCATTAGATATGGGTTACATTCTATCTGTCTGCGTATTAGGTATGGGTTACATTCTATCTGTCTGTACATAAGGTATGGGTTACATTCTATCTGTCTGTACATTAGGTATGGGTTACATTTTATCTGTCTGTACATTAGGTATGGGTTACATTCTATCTGTCTGTACATTAGGTATGGGTTACATTCTATCTGTCTGTACATTAGGTATGGGTTACATTCTATCTGTCTGTACATTAGGTATGGGTTACATTCTATCTGTCTGTGTGCGTCTGATTTCTTCTCTCATCCCTCCTCAGTTTGTGTACCTTTTCTGTCCTCTCTTCAGAACATATAGGCTTGTGTGATATCTCTCTCTCTCTGTGTGTGTGTGTGTGTGTGTGTGTGTGTGTGTGTGTGTGTGTGTGTGTGTGTGTGTGTGTGTGTGTGTGTGTGTGTGTGTGTGTGTGTGTGTGTGTGTGTGTGTGTGTGTGTGTACGCACCATTCACATTTGTAAGGGGCGGCAGGTAGCCTAGCGGTTAAGAGCATTGGGCCAGTAACTGAAAGGTCTCTGGTTCGAATTTCGATTTCACTATGTGAAAAACCTGTCTGTGACTTGAGCGGAAGGCACTCAACCCTAATTACAAAATGTCCATTTGGATGTGTGTGTGTACCAAAGACGGCATACAGAATAGTACTCTCTGTGTGTTAACACCTCCTCTCCTCTCTGACCCAGTACATCAAAGCCTGTCTCCAGGCTAAGGAGTGTCCCCACCTGACCCTGGTCCAGGTCAGCACGGTCCAGACCATGTTCGAGAAGGAGATCTCTGCCATCGGAGCTGTGGTCAACCGCAAGAGCTCCAACCCCCCCTTACCTCTGCCCCCCAAGAGGAGGGGACCCTCGGTCAGTCACACTCTGTGTGTGTGTGTGTGTGAGGTGCATGTATGCGTTTGTGAGCCTTTTATTATCTCCAGACATTGCTAGCTGCTCTTAGCAGGTGCACTCTGACGTCATTCTGACGTTTCGTCTGGTTCTAAAGGTCGGTGTGCAGTTTAATTGGCTCATGCAGTTTTAATTGCTCATTAGGGCTTAATTGCCTGGTACCACGACGACTACATCCCACAGTGACAGGTGACATTGGACAGTAAATGACACCTGTCAATCAATGCTTCAAATGTCAATCATTACAACTAAATGTCAACATCAACAAGACTGCATCTGATCTGAAAAGAAGAAAGATGTTGGTCAGACAGTGATGTCTTGTGGTAGTTGGACCATTGACAGAAGGAGAAGTGAGTAGGGCTTCAAGCACAACAAGCCTGTATACCCAGCAGCTCTCCGGGAGGGTAGAGGATTGTTCTAGGTAGTGAGGAGAGGTTGAGCGAAGGACAGACTGTTCTTGTGGTGGTGTACTCGAGTCAGACATTACAAAAATATACATGTTGCATAGACACTCACCTAAATACACACACTGATACACAGTACCCACTCTTACATTCAAAAACACTCTTGTTTACACACACAACAACACACTTACAAAAGCACACTTTCGTTTAGACACACACACACACAGGAAGCGTGCTGCTTATTCATGTTTGTGGGCTGTAGCTGACGGCCAGTCATGTGGAGTGTTTTTCCTGCTGTGCTGACCTTCGCAAATCTACTCTGCTTGACAACAGTTTGACTCACCCTTCAGTGTGTGTGTGTGTTATTCCTACAGTAAATTATACCGTTCTTCTTGCTTACTCATGAAAATATTTCTCTCCTCTCGCTCTCTTTCCTCACCTCACTTCCTCCTTTCCTCTTCCCTCTGTTCCTGTCCTTCTCTCTCTCCTCTTCCCTCTGTTCCTCTCCCTCTCTCTCCTCTTCCCTCTGTTCCTCTCCCTCTCTCTCCTCTTCCCTCTGTTCCGTCCTTCCCTCTCTCCTCTTCCCTGTTTCCCTCTCCCACTCTCTCCTCCTCTTCCCTCTGTTCCTCGTCCCGCTCCTCCCCCCCTTCTCTTTCCCTCTCGTTCCTCTTCCTCTCTCTCCTCTTCCCTCTGTTCCTCCTTTCCGCTCTCGTCCCTCGCTGTCCTTCTCCTCTCTCTCTTCCCTCTGTTCTCTCTCCCTCTCTCTCCTCTTCCTCTTCTTTCCTCTCCTCTCTCTCCTCTTCCCTCTGTTCCTTCCCTCTCTCCTCTTCCCTCTGTTCCTCTCCCTCTCTCTCCTCTTCCCTCTGTTCCTCTCTCTCTCTCTCCTCTTCCCTCTGTTCCTCTTCCTCTCTCTCCTCTTCCCTCTGTTCCTCTCCTCTCTCTCCTTCCTCTCTCCTCCTCTCTCTCCCTCTGTTCCTCTCCTCTCTCTCTCCTCTTCCTCTGCTTCCTCTCTTCCTCTTCCCTCTGTTTCCTCTTCCCTTCTCTTCCTCTCTCCTCTCTCCCTTCCCTCGTTCCTTCCTTCTCTCTCCTCTTCCCTCGTTCTTCCTCTCCTCTCTTCCTCTCTCCTCTTACCTCTGCTTCCTCTTCCTCTTCCCTCTGTTCCTCTCCCTCTCTCTCCTCTTCCCTCTGTTCCTCTCCCTCTCTCTCCTCTTCCCTCTGTTCCTCTCCTTCTCTCTCCTCTTCCCTCTGTTCCTCTCCCTCTCTCTCCTCTTCCCTCCGTTCCTCTCCCTCTCTCTCCTCTTCCCTCCGTTCCTCTCCCTCTCTCTCCTCTTCCCTCTGTTCCTGTCCTTCTCTCTCTCCTCTTCCCTCTGTTCCTCTCCCTCTCTCTCCTCTTCCCTCTGTTCCTCTCCCTCTGTTCCTCTCCTTCTCTCTTTCCTCTGTTGCTCTTCTTCTCTCTCTCTCTCTCTCTCTAGCAAGTGCAGACGTGTGTATGGGAGGTGTCCACCCAGTATAAGATCGTCCTAATCAAAGGCAGCAAGGTGAACGCTGAGGAGACGGCAAAGGTAACCACTGATGATGATTACTTGATAGCAAACCTGGAATTTTTGTTGCATTTTTTTGTGTTTGCACTGAGATGTACAGTACCAGTCAAAAGTTTGGACACACCTACTCATTCAAGGGTTTTTCTATATTTTTACTATTTTCTACATTGTAGAATAATAGTGAAGACATCAAAACTAGGAAATAACACATTGAATCATGTAGTAACCAAAAAAGTGTTAAACAAATCAAAATATATTTTATATTTGAGATTATTCAAATAGCCACCCTTTGCCTTCATGACAGCTTTGAACACTCTTGGCATTCTCTCAACCAGCTTCACCTGGAATGCTTTTCCAACAGTCTTGAAGGAGTTCCCACATATGCTGAGCACTTGTTGTCTGCTTTTCCTTCACTCTGCCGTCCGACTCATCCCAAACCATTTCATTGGGTTGAGGTTGGGTGATTGTGGAGGCCAGGTCATCTGATGCAGCACTCCATCACTCTCCTTCTTGGTCAAATAGCCCTTACACAGCCTGGAGGTGTGTTGGATCATTGTCTTGTTGAAAAACAAATGTCCCACTAAGCCCAAACCAGGTGGGATGGCGTATCGCTGCCGAATGCTGTGGTAGCCATGCTGGTTAAGTGTGCCTTGAATTCTAAATAAATCACAGACCGTGTCACCAGCAGAGCACCCCCACACCATAACACCTCCTCCTCCATGCTTTACGGTGGGAACTACACATGCGGTGATCATCCGTTCACCCACACCGCATCTTACAAAGACACAGCGGTTGGAACCAAAAATCTCATATTTGGACTCCAGACCAAAGGACAAATTTCCACCGGTCTCATGTCCATTGCTCGTGTTTCTTGGCCCAAGCAGGTCTCTTCTTATTATTGGTGTCCTTTAGTAGTGGTTTCTTTGCAGCAATTCGACCATGAAGGCCTGATTCACGCAGTCTCCTATGAACAGTTGATGTTGAGATGTGTCTGTGACTTGAACTCTGTGAAGCATTTATTTGGGCTGCAATTTCTGAGGCTGGTAACTCTAATGAACTTATCCTCTGCAGCAGAGATAACGCTGGGTCTTCCATTCCTGTGGCAGTCCTCATGAGAGCCAGTTTCATCATAACGCTTGATGGTTTTTGTGACTGCACTTGAAGAAACTTTCAAAGTTCTTGACATTTTCGGTATTGACTGACCTTCATGTCTTAAAGTAATGATGGACTGTCGTTTCTCTTTGCTTAGTTGAGCTGTTCTTGCCATAATATGGACTTGGTAAATGACTAAAATGTAAATGTGTTTTACTAAATAAGGCTATCTTCTGTATGCCCCCCTACCTTGTCTCAACACAACTGATTGGCTCAAACGCATTAAGAAGGAAAGAAATTCCACAAATTAACTTTTAAGAAGGCACACCTGTTAATTGAAATGTATTCCAGGTGACTACCTCATGAAGCTGGTTGAGAGAATGCCAAGAGTGTGCAAAGCTGTCATCAAGGCAAAGGGTGGCTACTTTGAAGAATCTCAAATATAAAATATATTTTGATTTGTTCAACACTTTTATGGTTACTACATGATTCCATATGTGTTATTTCATAGTTTTGATGTCTTCACTATTATTCTACAATGTAAAACATAGTAAAAATAAAGAAAAACCCTTGAATGAGTTGGTGTGTCCAAACTTTTGCCTGGTAGTGTAGTTATTACCCATGGGCAGTAGAGCACTGTTAGCTCTACACTTTGACCCTATTATGATTAACTAAACCCCCTTCCCCTCTCCTCTCTCTCTTCAGGTCCAGGTGCGTGCAGGCTTGTTCCACGGCACAGAGCTGCTGTGTAAGCCAGCGGTGAGCAGCGAGAGCAGCGGACACACGGAACATGTGTGGAACCGCACGCTAGAGTTCGACATCGCCGTGAGCGACCTGCCGCGCATGACCCGCCTATGCTTTGCCGTCTACGCCGTCATGGACAAGGTCAAGAAGCAGAAGTCCACCAAGAACTCCCACATCAACAAGTACCAGACCATCCGCAAGGCCGGCAAAGTGGTATAACACACACACAAAGCACAGACATGCGCACACACACACACACACACACACACACACACACACAGACACTTTATATTTATCTCTGTCCCCTCTTTTGCTCTCGCTCTCTCTTCTTCTCACTCTCCCTCTCTCTCTCTCCGTCTCTCTGCAGCACTACCCTGTAGCCTGGGTGAACACCATGGTGTTTGACTATAAAGGACAGCTGAAGACTGGAGATATCATCCTTCACAGCTGGTCTTCCTTTCCTGGTGAGCACATACACACCCTCATGCACTTTACAAACACTTGAATGAACCTACACACACTCACACCTACACACACATTTCTGAAACTCACCTTCATACTTGTACACAAAATGTTAGTGGCATGTATGAGTGATTTTTCTGTGTGTTCCCCAGATGAACTTGAAGAGATGCTGAACCCCATAGGAACCATCCAGACCAACCCGTACACTGAGAACGCTACAGCACTCCACATCCACCTCCCTAACTACAACCCTCAACCCATCGTATTCCCCCCCTTCGACAAGGTGAGGACACACACACACACACACACACACACACACTGACGTATTCAAACATGGTTGTCATTATGAAATATTTCTACCACTGATATGGATGTGTGTGATCTACCCCTGCAGATTCTGGAGAAAGCTGCAGAGATCGCTGGGTCAAGTGACTGCTCGCCTATGGTACTGTCGTGAGTTCCAACCACTCAAACACACACATACCTAGACACACGCAAACACTTACACACATACATACATACGTACCCCTTCCATCACACACAAATACTTACACACATACATACATACGTACCCCTTCCATCACACACAAGCGCTCCCTTTACTCCAGAGCAGCAGGCGCCAGGCATGGTGCAAGCATTTCTAGTACAGAAAGACAGACACCAAATGTGTCAGAGGGGAGGAAGGATATTGCTGTGACTGGTTTCCAGGGCAACCCAGTCAGTTCTGATCCTGATCCAAGATGGTGCACTGTCACAATAGTGTCTCTCTGAGGAATCTGAGGCTAAGATCAGCCCTCCTGTTCCACGTGCCACACGCGCACACACACACACACACACATACACACACACGTCAACCATCCTAAAGACCCTGTGGGACAGGACACAGATAGTTACGTAACACCATGTGACACAGAGGGCTTGCCAAAACATGCCCCTTGCAGGGAGATGTGTGTGTATGATGGAGGTTTTCGTACGGTCTCAAGCTTCACGCTCTTATTCTGTGTGTCGACTAACAATGTTTCATTGTTGATCCATAAAGCAATCAAACATGCATGCAAGTACAGATCTATTTTTATCTCTCTAATGGGGGATAGGATTACATGCAGGGGACTCCCGAGTGGCGCAGCAGTCTAAGGCACTGCATCGCAGTGCTAGAGGCGTCACTACAGACCCGGGTTCGATCTCGGGCTGTATCACAACCGGCCGTGATCGGGAGTCCAATAGGGCGGCGCACAATTGGCCCATCGTTGTCTGGGTTAGGGGAGGGTTTGGCTGGGGGGCTTTACTTGGCTCATCGCGCTCTAGTGACTCCTTGTGGCGGGCCGGGCGCCTGCAGGCTGACCTCAACGGGGTTTCCTCCGACACATTGGTGCGGCTGGCTTCCGGGTTAAGCGGGCGGGTGTTAAGAAGCGCGGTTTGGCGGGTCATGTTTCGGAGGACGCATGACGCGACCTTCGCCCCCCAAGCCCGTTGGAGAGTTGCAGCGATGAGACAAGATCGAATTGTTTACATGCAGTGTACTCTGATTCCAGATCTGTGGTTAATGGTAACATCTACCTTTAACACCCCATGCTACTTCTCTGTACATAATGTGATTTCTTAACCTCTGCTGCCACCTAGTGGTGACTAACCACCCCTGCTGTTTCCCCACAGGGCCGAGGCGGTAAGAAGTTCCACATTGAGCTGAAGGAGATCATGGAGAGGGACCCTCTGTCCCAGCTGTGTGAGAACGAGAAGGACCTCATCTGGACACTACGCTACGACTGCATGGAGAACTTCCCCCAGTCACTGCCCAAACTGCTGCTCTCCGTCAAGTGGAGCAAACATGAGGACATGGCCCAGGTACACACTGTGACACATGAACATGGCCTGTGTATTGACAGTGTTCTGTAACAACAATCAATTCCTTCTCCAGGGAAATAAACTATTCTAACCAGTCTGATGACAATGTTGTCTGTGAGTGTGCCTCAATGGTCAGACTCTAAATGGACCCCTAGCCCATACCACTATGCCCCTCATCATTCCCCTTCAAAGATCTGCTGTGCTCCTGTATTGGTTAGTAATCATAGTGAATGATCTCTGTCTCTCAGCTCCAGGCCTTGCTGCAGATCTGGCCCAAGCTGAGTCCCAGGGATGCTCTGGAGCTGCTGGACTTTAACTACCCAGACCAGTACGTCAGAGAGTACGCCGTGGGCTGCCTGAGGGACATGAGGTAGTCTACACACGCTCACAGACACACATACCTATTCCTAGTTCACTTACTGTTGTAATGACTTTATCACCGCCCATCTCCCCCTCTCTCTTCCTCTCACCCCCTCTTCCTCTCACCCCCTCTTCCCTCTTCCCTCCTCCCCCCCCCCCCCCACCACCCCCCCCCAGTGATGAGGAGTTGTCTCAGTACCTGCTCCAGCTGGTCCAGGTGTTACGTTATGAACCCTACTATGACTGTGCGCTCACCCGCTTCCTGCTGAACAGAGCCCAGTGCAACCGCAACATAGGACACTTCCTCTTCTGGCATCTCAGGTGAGAGAGGGAGACGTGGTGTGTACATGAAAGTGTGTAAGGGTGTGTGTTTGTGTGTGTGTAAGGGTGTGTAAGGGTGTGTGTGCATATGAAAGAGAAAGAGCATGTGTGCAAAGAACCAAAATACATTTTCCTCTATACAGGCTGTATTTGTTGGTGGTGTGTGATGTGATGTGCGTTAACCCACCCCAGGCATGACTGTAACTATATGGTGACTGTAACTATATGGTGACTGTGCTGCCCCCTGCAGGTCAGAGATGCACATGCCAGTCGTCTCTGTCCAGTTCTCTCTCATTCTGGAGGCCTACTGTCGCGGCAGCATCCCTCACATTGAGGTCCTGAAGAAACAGGTAAGGACCCCAACACACACACTCGCGCATGCACGCACACACACACACGCCCTGACTCCAACCTTAAGCTGTGAATGAATCACTACATACATCTAATTCTGTCAACACCTCTAATTCTATAGTTTCCTCTGTCAGTTCAGAATGGGGTTATTTATAAAGAAGTCAGATGACAGCAGCCTGACCTCTAACCTCTGACCTCTACCCGCTTCCTGTCCACTGCTGTCCATCCCTCCTCTCCTTCCTGTTTTGGAGTTAGCTACCACACTGTGGGATGTTTCAGGAAGCCCATGCTGTCATGCGTAGCATCCGTGTCATATTTGAAAGGCAATTGCATTATAGTGCATAAATACAGCATATATCTGTGGTGTAATCTCATCATTATTTCATTATTACATCACGTTGCTTCTATGTTGTAATGACATTACGCCCCTTCTCTCCCTATAGGTGGAGGCTCTGAGCAAGCTGAAGTCTGTAAATGAGCTGATCAAGCTGGGCACCATCAAGAACGCCCGCAGTAAGACCAAGGAGGCCATGCTCACCAAGGAGGCCATGATGACCTGTCTGAGACAGAGTGGCTACACAGAGACCCTCTCTGACCTGCACTCCCCTCTCAACCCCAGCGTCCTGCTCTCTGGAATCAAGTAAGGGCCAGGGGGAGAGAGTTAGGTCTAAGGGGTTAGAGGGTGATGTGGGTGGACGACTTTGATTTGACTCCTTTTTTCCCTCGTTCTTCTTCTTGCTCTATTTTTCACTTTTTCACATTTCTCCCCCTATTTCTCTCTCCCCTCCTCCATGCTCTCCCCTCCTCCCAGTGTGGAGAAGTGTCGGTACATGGACTCTAAGATGAAGCCTCTGTGGATCGTCTACAACAACAAGCTGCTGGGGGGAGACACCCTGGGAATCATCTTCAAGAATGGAGACGGTACGAGGGGGAGGTGGATCTAACATTTAGATTTACATTTTAGTCATTTAGCAGACGCTCTTATCCAGAGCGACTTACATGAGCAATTAGGTTTAAGTGCCTTGCTCAAGGACACATCAACAGATTTTTCACCTAGTCAGCTCAGGGATTCGAACCAGCGACCTTTCGGTTACTGGCCCAACGCCCTTAACTGCTAGGCTACCTGCCTCTAAGAGGAAATGTAAGATCACTAAAGTTCAGGGGTAGAGGAGAGTGAGGGAAGAATAGTGAGGTCAAGATGGAGGGATGTGTATTATGGAAGGTGATTGAAGATGGAAGTATGAATGAAAGACTAATGGTGTTACACTCATTTCTCTCTCCAGACCTGAGACAAGACATGTTGACACTGCAGATCTTGAGGTTGATGGACCTGCTATGGAAGGAGGCCAATCTGGACCTTAGGTGTGTATATTAATATAAAAGGGGTGTGTGTGTGTCCCCTCAGGCGGACTCTGTGTCAGTAAGGCTTGTTTGTTCCTGCTCTCTGTAGGGAAGGGGAAGCTGTGTTGGGGGGGGGGGGGGGGGGGCTTAATCACCCCCTGCTAGCCTGACCTCTAACCCCCCCACATCCATACCCCCAGCATCACACACACACTACCCCGCTTCTCATCCTAATCAAATCCACACACACTAGCGCTCGCTCTAATACTCTAACATACACAGACACACACAGTCTGACACATCTGGAGCTGAGCAGTGTGTGGGATTGTTTTGACAGTTGAGCTGGGGGGCAGGCCGTTAGGTTACAGGGACAAGGGTTCAGAGAGGAGAGGGAGCTCTGCAGAGAGGATGATGATGATGATGGTGAGGATAATAAACTCACTATGTGGTGGTGTTTGGAGTGTAATCATGCGTACATTTTGGTCACGTGCTGAGAGAGCGGGGGAAAGGAAAAATAATGGAGAAAATTATAGGATGCATCTCAATGGTGTTGATGATGATTAATTGGAACAAAATGTGTCTGTGCAGAATCGTGCCTTACGGTTGCCTAGCGACTGGGGACCGGTCAGGGCTGATCGAGGTGGTGTCGTCGGCGGATACCATCGCCAACATCCAGCTGACCAGCAGCAATGTGGCGGCCGCCGCAGCCTTCAACAAGGATGCGCTACTCAACTGGCTCAAAGAGAAGAACTCTGGGTAAGACCACACTTGGCCAACGGGTTTGTTTGTTTCTTACACCAGGGCTCTTTCTCAATGTGACTTTCAAAAAGTTATAGATGGTGAATATAAAAAATGTGTATTACTGACCTATTTCATAGATATGTAAGCATACTGGATGTACAGTACCAGTCACAAGTTTGGACACACCTACTCATTCAAAGGTTTTCCTTTATCTTTACTATTTTCTACATTGTAGAATAATAGTGAAGACATCAAAACTATGAAATAACACATATGGAATCATATAGTAACCAAAAAAGTGTTAAACAAATCAACATATATTTTAGATTCTTCAAAGTTGCCACCCTTTGCCTTGATGACAGCTTTGCACACTCTTGGCATTCTCTCAACCAGCTTCACCAAGAATGCTTTTCCAACAGTCTTGAAGGAGTTCCCACATATGCTGAGCACTTGTTGGCTGCTTTTCCTTCACTCTGCGATCCAACTCATCCCAAACAATCTCAATTGGGTTGAGGTCGGTTGATTGTGGAGGCCAGGTCATCTGATGCAGCACTCCATCACTCTCCTTCTTGGTCAAATAGCCCTTACACAGCCTGGAGGTGTGTTGGGTCAGTGTCCTGTTGAAAAACAAATGATAGTCCCACTAAGCGCAAACCAGATGGGATGGTGTATCGCTGCAGAATGCTGTGGTAGTCATGCTGGTTAAGTGTGCCTTGAATTCTAAATAAATCACAGACAGTGTCACCAGCAAAGCACCCCCACACCATCACACCTCCTCCTCCATGCTTCACGGTGGGAACTACACATGCGGAGATCATCCGTTCACCTACTCTGCGTCTCACAAAGACACAGCGGTTGGAACCAAAAATCTCCAATTTGGACTCAGAGGGACAGATTTCCACCGGTCTAATGTCCATTACTAGTGTTTCTTGGCCCAAGCAAGTCTCTTCTTATTATTGGTGTCCTTTAGTAGTGGTTTCTTTGCAGCAATTCGACCATGAAGGCCTGATTCTCGCAGTCTCTTCTGAATAGTTGATGTTGAGATGTGTCTGTGACTTGAACTCTGTGAAGCATTTATTTGGGCTGCAATTTCTGAGGCTGGTAACTCTAATGAACTTATCCTCTGCACAGAGGTAACTCTGGATCTTCCTTTCCTGTGGCGGTCCTCATGAGAGCCAGTTTTATCATAGGCCTTGATGGTTTTTGCGACTGCACTTAAAGACATTTTCAAAGTTCTTGACATTTTCCGTATTGACTGACCTTCATGTCTTAAAGTAATGATGGACTGTCTTTTCTCTTTGCTTATTTGAGTTGTTCTTGCCATAATATGGACTTGGTCTTTTACCAAATAGAGCTACCGTGAGGGGAAAAAAGTATTTGATCCCCTGCTGATTTTGTACGTTTGCCCACTGACAAAGACATGATCTGTCTATAATTTTAATGGTAGGTTTATTTGAACAGTGAGAGATAGAATAACAACAAAAAAATCCAGAAAAACGCATGTAAAAAAAATTGATTTGCATTTTAATGAGGGAAATAATTATTTGATCCCTCTGCAAAACATGACTTAGTACTTGGTGGCAAAACCCTTGTTAGCAATCACAGAGGTCAGACGTTTCTTGTAGTTGGCCACCAGCTTTGCACACATCTCAGGAGGGATTTTGTCCCACTCCTCTTTGCAGATCTTCTCCAAGTCATTAAGCTTTCGAGGCTGCTGACGTTTGGCAACTCGAACCTTAAGCTCCCTACACAGATTTTCTATGGGATTAAGGTCTGGAGACTGGCTAGGCCACTCCAGGACCTTAATGTGCTTCTTCTTGAGCTACTCCTTTGTTGCCTTGGCTGTGTGTTTTGGGTCATTGTCATGCCCTGGCTGAGGGAAGGAGGTTCTCACCCAAGATTTGGCGGTAAATGGCACCGTCCATCGTCCCTTTGATGCAGTGAAGTTGTCCTGTCCCCTTAGCAGAAAAACACCCCCAAAGCAGAATGTTTCCACCTCCATGTTTGACGGTGGGGATGGTGTTCTTGGGGTCATAGGCAGCATTCCTCCTCCAAACACAGCGAGTTGAGTTGATGCCAAAGAGCTCGATTTTGGTCTCATCTGACCACAACACTTTCACCCAGTTCTCCTCTGAATCATTCAGATGTTCATTGGCAAACTTCAGACGGGCCTGTATATGTGCTTTCTTGAGCAGGGGGACCTTGCGGGCGCTGCAGTATTTCAGTCCTTCACAGCGTAGTGTGTTACCAATTGTTTTCTTGGTGACTATGGTCCCAGCTGCTTTGAGATCATTGACAAGATCCTCCCGTGTAGTTCTGGACTGATTCCTCACCGTTCTCATGATCATTGCAACTCCACCAGGTGAGATCTTGCATGGAGCCCCAGGCCGAGGGAGATTGACAATTATTATTATTATTATTGTGTTTCTTCCATTTGCGAATAATCACACCAACTGTTGTCACCTTCTCACCAAGCTGCCATTCCAGCCTTGTGTAGGTCTACAATCTTGTCCCTGACATCCTTGGAGAGCTCTTTGGTCTTGGCCATGGTGGAGTGTTTGGAATCTGATTGATTGATTGCTTCTGTGGACAGGTGTCTTTTATACAGGTAACAAACTGAGATTAGGAGCACTCCCTTTAAGAGTGTGCTCCTAATCTCAGCTCGTTACCTGTATAAAAGACACCTGGGAGCCAGAAATCTTTCTGATTGAGAGGGGGTCAAATACTTATTTCCCTCATTAAAATGCAAATCAATTTATAACATTTTTTACATGCGTTTTTCTGGATTTTGTTGTTGTTATTCTGTCTCTCACTGTTCAAATAAACCTACCATTAAAATTATAGACTGATCATTTCTTTGTCAGTGGGCAAACGTACAAAATCAGCAGGGGATCAAATACTTTTTTCCCTCACTGTATCTTCTGTATACGACCCTTACCTTGTCACAATACAACTGCTTGGCTCAAATGCATTAAGAAGGAAAGAAATTCCACAAATTGACTTTTAACAAGGCACACCTGTTAATTGAAACACATTCTAGGTGACTACCTCATGAAGCTGGTTGAGAGAATGCCAAGAGTGTGCAAAGCTGTCAAGGCAAAGGGTGGCTACTTTGAAGAATCTCAAATATAAAATATATTTTGATTTGTTTAACACTTTTTTGGTTACTACATGATTCCATATGTGTTATTTCATAGTTTTGATGTCTTCACTATTATTCTACAATGTAGAAAATAGTAAAAAATAAATAAAAACCCTGGAATGAGCAGGTGTGTCTAAACTTCTGACTGGTACTGTATATAACAGGCAATATGTTAGTGAGCTGCTATGCTTTGGTGCAAACCCAGTGAAAGCTCCCACTTGGCCGACACTTTGTTTTGTGTCTGTGTACTTTGCAGAGATGCTCTGGAGAAGGCGATCGAGGAGTTCACCCTGTCATGTGCAGGCTACTGCGTGGCCACCTACGTCCTGGGGATAGGTGACCGCCACAGTGACAACATCATGGTCCGCAGCACTGGGCAGGTGGGTAGGGGTGCTCCCCTCTACGACAGGCAAAATCACTAAGGTTAATTTATGGAGTCTTTTAATGGAGTTCAGAATCAAGTTCTTACATTGTGTGTGTCTCAGCTCTTCCACATAGACTTTGGGCATATCCTGGGGAACTTCAAGTCCAAGTTTGGCATCAAGAGGGAACGTGTCCCCTTCATCCTGACCCATGACTTCATCCACGTCATCCAACAGGGAAAGACTGGCAACACTGAGAAGTTTGGCAGGTGAGCTTCTGTCCCCTTCCACTACTCAGGTGATCCAGGCTGGGAACACTATCTGTTGCCTACCATTTATCATTTATGTAGGCGATAGTTGAGTAAATGTATAGTAAATTGAATGTGTGTGTTGTCCCTAGTTTCCGTAATTACTGTGAACAGGCCTACCTGATTCTGAGGCGGAATGGGAACCTCTTCATCACCCTGTTTGCCCTCATGCTGACTGCTGGACTGCCAGAGCTCACCTCCGTCAAGGATATACAGTACCTAAAGGTCATTCTCACACACACACACACACACACACACACACAGTATATACAGTGGGGGAAAAAATTATTTAGTCAGCCACCAATTGTGACAGTTCTCCCACTTAAAAAGATGAGAGAGGCCTGTAATTTTCATCATAGGTACACGTCAACTATGACAGACAAAATGAGGGGAAAAAATCCAGAAAATCACATTGTAGGATTTGTAATGAATTTATTTGCAAATTATGGTGGAAAATAAGTATTTGGTCAATAACAAAAGTTTCTCAATACTTTGTTATATACCCTTTGTTGGCAATGACACAGGTCAAACGTTTTCTGTAAGTCTTCACAAGGTTTTCACACACTGTTGCTGGTATTTTGGCCCATTCCTCTATGCAGATCTCCTCTAGAGCAGTGATGTTTTGGGGCTGTCGCTGGGCAACACAGACTTTCAACTCCCTCCAAAGATTTTCTATGGGGTTGAAATCTGGAGACTGGCTAGGCCACTCCAGGACCTTGAAATGCTTCTTACGAAGCCACTCCTTCGTTGCCCGGGCGGTGTGTTTGGGATCATTGTCATGCTGAAAGACCCAGCCACGTTTCATCTTCAATGCCCTTGCTGATGGAAGGAGGTTTTCACTCAAAATCTCACGATACATGGCCCCATTCATTCTTTCCTTTACACGGATCAGTCTTCCTGGTCCCTTTGCAGAAAAACAGCCCCAAAGCATGATGTTTCCACCCCCATGCTTCACAGTAGGTATGGTGTTCTTTGGATGCATCTCAGCATTCTTTGTCCTCCAAACACGACGAGTTGAGTTTTTACCAAAAAGTTCTATTTTGGTTTCATCTGACATTCTCCCAATCCTCTTCTGGATCATCCAAATGCACTCTAGCAAACTTCAGGGGGGCCTGGACTTGTACTGGCTTAAGCAGGGGGACACGTCTGGCACTGCAGGATTTGAGTCCCTGGCAGCGTAGTGTGTTACTGATGGTAGGCTTTGTTACTTTGGTCCCAGCTCTCTGCAGGTCATTCACTAGGTCCCCCCGTGTGGTTCTGGGATTTTTGCTCACCGTTCTTGTGATCAATTTGACCCCACGGGGTGAGATCTTGCGTGGAGCCCCAGATCGAGGGAGATTATCAGTGGTCTTGTATGTCTTCCATTTCCTAATAATTGCTCCCACAGTTGATTTATTCAAACCAAGCTGCTTACCTATTGCAGATTCAGTCTTCCCAGCCTGGTGCAGGTCTACAATTTTGTTTCTGGTGTCCTTTGACAGCTCTTTGGTCTTGGCCATAGTGGAGTTTGGAGTGTGACTGTGAGGTTGTGGACAGGTGTCTTTTATACTGATAACAAGTTCAAACAGCTGCCATTAATACAGGTAACGAGTGGAGGACAGAGGAGCCTCTTAAAGAAGAAGTTACAGGTCTGTGAGAGCCAGAAATCTTGCTTGTTTGTAGGTGACCAAATACTTATTTTCCACCATAATTTGCAAATAAATTCATAAAAAATCCTACAATGTGATTTTCTGGGAAAGAAATCTCAATTTGTCTGTCATAGTTGACGTGTACCTATGATGAAAATTACAGGCCTCTCTCATCTTTTTAAGTGGGAGAACTTGCACAATTGGTGGCTGACTAAATACTTTTTTTCCCCACTGTAGTTGGCCACTTCACATGGGCTAAAGTTTACATTTGCTACAGAAAGATACGGTGTCCAAAGTATGTGATGTTATGTTGTGATGAGTAGTTGTTAAGTCTCCTCCTCCCTCCTCTTCTCCCCCGTAGGACTCTCTGGCCCTGGGGAAGACAGACGACGAGGCGCTGAAACAGTTCCGCCAGAAGTTTGACGAGGCGCTGAGAGAGAGCTGGACCACCAAAGTCAACTGGATGGCCCACAACGTGGTCAAAGACAACCGCTCCTAGAGCAGACAGACGCTCATCCTGGAGCTGGAGGGTTAAGGGTTAAAGGTCAGGGGTTAGGAGGGTCTGAGGTCTATCCAGGGCTGGGACAACCGTGATGGAGGGGGCTATGGTGTTGCTAAGGGGTGAAGACCAGACAGGACTGGGCCTGGGGCCGCAAAGAATGGAACCTAGAAGACTATCTTAAACACACACACAGTAAACACACATGCTCTTACAGGCTTAAAATCCCCCCTCCCTATGCCTTTCCTCTGGCTTTTGAAGCTGCTGTGTGCCTCCAGCCAGTCCAGCAGTCCCATTGCCTCTCCCTGATCATGTGACATATTTGTGGGTAATGTGGTTGTGAGTTTTGCACTCGCTCAGTGAGAGTCAGAGCCCAACACCTGAGGAATAGTGTGGCCTCTCTGAGCCCCCCGCTGTGAATGGACCGCCCCCTTGGAGCCTGGACTCGACTGAACCATTGAGGAAGGGGACGGGGGTAGTTTCACCCACCTATCAGCAGGACTTCTGATCTGCCTTATGTTGGACTTAAAGAGAGGTCAGGGTTGACCACACCCACTCCAGGCCCTGCACCAGGCAGTTTGATTGACTGCACATGTAAAAGAGTGAGTGTGTAAAGACTGAGGACCAAAGCGTCTCACCCGCGAGTCTTAAAACGACACCAAAACGTGCACATGACCAGAGGAAGTGGGTCTTATTGGACTTATCCTCGCGAGGCCTAACAACTGGAAAATATTGTATTTCTATTAGTTTTTAAATGTTTTTATTTTATTGCCATTTAAGATTTTATTCTAGCTAAGATGTATATGTGCCAGACTACTAGAGAGAGAGAGAGAGAGACCCTCTGATCCTGTGGTCTTGAGAAACGAAGTCGCTCATGGCCAGATTCTCTGGACGCCTCTTCTCGATAGCTAAACAACATAACTTTATGTGCAGGTTTTTCAACTTTACGCACTCAGTTGTCCCCTCCTAGTAGCTAGCTAGTTATTTCCCTTGTTGTAACCTTAACAGAACTGCAGGAAAGCAGTTCTCAGCAAGCTGGGGCAAAGAACACCGTGTCCCGGTGTTGTGAAACACAGATTTGCCGTGCATACGCTCCACACTGAATAGACCATCCCGGTGACATCCAGATGGTTACCAATATTATAATATTTCTCATGAAGGCTGCTATCCTACTTGGAATTTTAAAAAATGTAGGGAAAGATTTGGCTGTGTTAACATTCGCCGTTTGATTTGGTGGTTTAGCTCTAGGGAAGAGGCGTCCGGGGGGGGGGGGCGGGACGGTTCGATTCGGTCGCGCAGCTTCTTCTTTTGAGAAAAGGGGTGAATTGGACCATCAAACACTGGCACCATTTTAAATACAAAGAGAGGGAGAGCGAGCTTAAAATGTTTCTAAAACTTTTTGTGTTCCTGCTTTGGAATGTGGATGTAACATTCCTGTGTTCCATTTGATCAAATCATGGTTGTTGTTGGACAAACAGAACAGGCACAAAGGGTGAGTCGTCACATTTCACATTTGTCATTTAGCAGACGCTCTTATCCAGAGCGACTTACAGTTAGTGAGTGCATACCCATTCATACTGGGGGCCGCACTTCCCCAGAAGTTATTATCACTACCCAATAGAGGTATTATCACTACCCCATAGAGATTGTCTTAGACATAGACTTGCCTAAGGATGCCAGACCTAGTTTTTCAAAGCACCAAACCACTCATATGACAATAACCACAATGAAAAAACTCACTAAGAAATAACCGAAGCATGTAACTAAAATGCCTTTTAGGACCAAAACAAAGAGAGAACCTTTAGTTGTTTTAGGTTTGTTTTTACTGTGTTTTTAATCTGTTCAAAAATCGAGTGTTTGTGCGAAAGATCTGTCGCTTCTTTTTTTTGGGGGTGTATTTGTTTTTTGGATCAGCAGAAATGGGCAGAGTTTAGGACCTGTGGGAGGGGTTTGCCAGCAGAGGGCGTAACGCTGCGATTCAAAGCTACTTCCTGGTTTTGTCATGAGGTGCTCTTCCAGTATCTGTGTTTTGATTTTGTGCAATATCCGTTTAGGAGTCTACATGTATATTATGTAAATGAACCCTTGGGCCCTAATGCCTGAGCCTATAATGGCTGTCACTGTAGGTTAATGTGTAATGCTGCTGTATTTCTCACCGCTAGCCTTCTTAAGTCTCTCAGACACTGAATATTGTCCAAATGTACAGGCTTTTATTGTTTTGCTGTTTTTTTGTTTTCATATGAGTTTTATTAAAGTAATTTTCCATTTAACTGCATTTTCCTTTTGTAATACCTGTTTTGTGTGTGTGAACATGGAGAGGACCAACATGCCTCTCTGCTGATGTCATGCCATACTGCTGATGTCATGCCATGTGGTGGGGGTGATGCCATACTGCTGATGTCATGCCATGTGGTGGGGGTGATGCCATACTGCTGATGTCATGCCATGTGGTGGGGGTGATGCCATACTGCTGATGTCATGCCATGTGGTGGGGGTGATGCCATACATGGTGGAGTAGCCAACAACCCTTATTGTCAGAAGTGCTATGTAGCTGTTAATACCTGCAAATGTCACAATTGATAGGTTGTTTGCCTGCGAAAGGTGTCAGTGGGTATCTTGGCAACCTCCTACGAGCTGTCCAGTTGAACACAAGCTTGTTCGATCGGGTCAAAAGTGATAACTGAAAAAGAAACTGCATGTGCATGTGTGAAAATTAAGTGATATAATTACATACAGTACCTGCTTGTTCCAAGTCAGCAACACTCATTGACTCAACTACTACATGTGCTGTCGTCTTTGACTGCAATGGCTAATTAAGGAGCGTTTATGCAATAATTACCATTGTATCATTTTCCCAGCACTTTCACTTGGTTAACAGTTGGGTAATAGTTGTTTACTTCAAGAACTCTGAATTGAAAGGGTGGGTGGATAGCCCCTCCCCTATTCAATTCTTCCCACACAAGTATTTAGTTTTTGTCCCCTATTCTCTGTCTGCAGTTGAAATAACTGGTCTTTTCTTTTGCTCTTTGCGTTTCCAGTGGCAAAAATAATGGAGGCCCACTCAAAACCCAGCTGAACCCACTCGCTCTGTTTGAATCTTCCTCCATTCACCATCATAAAACAGCTGTAGGTCACTCTTGACATCAGTGAAGGCCAAACCGGTTGTTGTCAGAGGGCCTGTCTACCTTTCTCCTATGTATCCAACCCTTGTTCAAAGTTGACAAATCAGGTGAATGACTGTCCATTAATCAATGAAACCTCTGAAGCCTGCAGTTATGCAGAATAGGAGAGATTGTGAAACAACAAAGTGTTGGTCCCATGTTTCATGAGCTGAAATAAAATATCCCAGAAATGTTCCATACACAAATGTGTTTACATCCCTGTTATTGAGCATTTCTCCTTTGCCAAGATAATCCTTCAACCTGACAGGTGTGGCATATCAAGAAGCTGATTAAACAGCATGATCATGACACAGATGCACCTGGGGACAATTAAAGGCCACACTAAAATGTGCAGTTTTGTCACACAACACAATGCCACAGATGTCTCAAGTTTTGAGGGAGCGTGTAACTGGCATGCTGACTGCAGGAATGTCCACCAGAGCTGTTGCCAGAAAATGTAATGTTCATTTCTCTACCATAAGCCGCCTCCAACGTCGTTTTGGAGAATTTGTCAGTATGTCCAACCACCCTCACAACCACATGTATGGCATCATGTGATTTGATTTATTAGAATCCCCATTAGCCGACAGCTAGTCTTACTGGGGTCCAACATATAACAAAAATACATTACAGACAAAATACCTTACAATTTAAAAACATTAACATGTAGTGTGTGTGCATCTATCAGTTACACATACATGTACATGTCAGTACATACACACAACAAGTAGGTCACATGTGGGCGAGCGGTTTGCTGATGTCAACGTTGTGAACAGAGTGCCCCATGGTGTCAGTGGGGTTATGGTATGGGCAGGCATAAGCTACAGACCACGAACACAATTGCACCTTATCGATGGCAATTTGAATGCACAGAGATACCATGACAAGATCCTGAGGCCCATTGTCGTGCCATTCATCATGATAATGCACTGCCCCATGTCGCAAGGATTTGTACACAATCCCTGGAAGCTGAAAATGTAAGATCTTCCATGGCCTCCTGTCAATATCCAGCAACTTCGCACGGCCATTGAAGAGGAGTGAGACAACATTCCACAGACCACAATCAACAGCCTGATCAACTCTATGCGAAGGAGATGTGTCGTGCTGCATGAGGCAAATGTGGTCACACCAGATACTGACCGGTTTTTTGATCCACGCCCCTACTTTTTTTTTAAAAGCTATCTGTTACCAACAGATGCATATCTGTATTCCCACTCATGTGAATACATAGATTAGGGCCTAATTAATTTATTTCAATTGACTGATTTCCTTATATGAACTGTAACTCAGTAAAATCTTTGAAATTGTTGCATGTGGCGTTTATATTTTTGTTCAGTATGTATAATTTAACCACTGATTTTATGTAACATATGGACATTGCATGGATATGTATTGCTTAATCATATTTCCATAAATGTTCCAATGGTTAGATGCGCACAGATCTAAGACCAATACAATACTTGGTATGGTAATATTGGGGTGTGCTTTAAATGGAGAGGATTTCTGGTTAAATAAATCTGTTCTGTCACTAAGTACTTCCGCTGGTAAGAGATACCCACCCACCATCTAGTTGTTCTGCTGCAGTGAATCACCACTCACCCTGCTTATGGAATCCCACCTACCCCCCTGGGGTCTAGGTCCACTGTCTCTGGGTACAGGACACTCCGAGATAAGGAGAAGTGTCAGTGTGGGTGTGTGTTGTGTTTGTGATGTTCAGAGGTCTTCTGTTAAAGTGCAGGCTGTGATGATGCAGGCAGGGAATAAGCGACAGACAGTAAGCGATCACAATTTATTTTAAGAACTCAGTCGTGGTCTCAACTTACTGTTGACAGTTAG